ATAAAGGTACTTCAGATTTAAGTTGGAAATGTGGACATTTTATCATGCACGGTGGTTTTTCTTCTCTGTCTTTTTCATTTCTCATTATTTTTATTTATTCTTTTTTAATTCAACATTTGAAGTTCTTAATTCTGTTGAAATTTTTTTAATAAACATTATTTAAAAAAAAAAGAACAGAAAGCATGGAGTGCCATGCTGCAAGGTGAGGTCAACAGGAATAAACAAGCTGACTTTAAGGCAATTTTATACACCACTGCTATATTTTAGGAAGAAATTCTGTTGAGATTCTACGACTCAGTTTAAAAGCACAAGTGGAAAAGAAATGGCATTTCCTATAATTTTCAGAGGAGTTCAGTGCACGATGGGATTGTGGTGAGGTTTCATATAATGAGAGAAATACATAACAACAAAGCCATTAATCAATTGGGTCCAATTTTGAAACTAGTTTAGCCTAGGGAGAAAGCCAGCTACCAGACAAAATGAAATGGGAAAAGCAGGCAGAATAGAAACTATAATATCCAGGGAGATGGTAGGATCTCGTTATCTGTTCCTGACCAGAAAAAACTTGGTAGTTGAGTGCCATTCATGCATTGGATTTCCTTAAGATGCTCGATGATCTGTCGTTGTGGTTTCCTAGAATAATTTTGGAGATTATCTGTGTTTTAATTCTATTAGATAAAACCAGAAGATAATACTGAAGCTTAAACTAACCTTCTTACATTCTTTACAAAAATGGAGATTGGTAGTAGTACAACAGCAATATTAAATAGGGTAGGGTTTTTTGGTTTTGGATTTAAAACGAGCTCATGAGTCAAATTATTTTTGTGTAAAAGAAAATTTGGGCTATTAGCAGAATGATAATCCACAGAGAACTTAGCCCAAGGAAGCTGTAACTGAAAAGTGTGTAAATGGCATATATTGAATTATGCATCTAAAATACTGCAAAAATATAAAATAGATTCTTGTAAATGCGAGTAAAGTATGTTCCAGAAGAACATGTCAGATCAGCCAGCAGAACTCCCCATTTTCAGAGGTTGACAGAAATTTAACTCTTTAGAACAATCTCATCCTTTTAAATTTGGTTATTTTTTTTTAATGTTCATGAAAAGAAAATCATTGCTTTGAGAAAATCATTCAGTCTATTCTAATTTATGTAATGTAGAAGAAATCTGTTTCCAAATCCCATTGACCTCTTTTCTCCTCCTCTTGTTACTTTATCTAAACCATTATTGATAATGTGTTTTATTTTATTTTTTAAATTGCATATGGTGTCTTCTCAAGTGCTACATGCTGTAAATTTGAGACCTGAGCGATTATAACCTCCATAAAATTCACATCTTTCAAAAGTTTTATGTACCTATTATGGATTTCAGTTGTTTTCCCTGCACTAGGCCAGTTGCTTTTGAAAGCTGAAAGAATGTAAAGAGCTATATTCTTTTATGACTGGATGGCATGAAATATTAAATAACCCTAAAGTCTTCTGTGAATTTGCCTCTCACAAATGACAATGATTCCCTATGATTCCAAACTTTTTTAGTAGAAACATTTCTAGGCTGAACAATTACTTAATCAAAACTATCATATGTGTGTATATATTCCATGTACGCATGTGTATACACATACACACCAACACACATGCACACATCAACCTGAATCAGTCCCCTGCAGAATGAATGAAGGTGCTTTTTCAAGAAACAAAACAACTTTCTTTGTTTTTCCTTGAAGACGTTTTGTTTCTCATTCAAGAAGGTTCTTCAGTTCTAACTGAATGATGGGGAATTCCCCACTATTCAGTTAGAACTGAAGAAGCTTCTTGGATGAGAATTGAAATGTCTTCAAGGAAAAACAAAAAATGTCCAGTTGCTTATTGAAAAAAACATCTTTGGGACAACCATGACTTGGATGACTGAGAATCTCCATATCTTGCAGAATGAATGCCTCTTCATAGATGTTTTTTGACTCTATGCCTAAGTGGGATTGATTGGTCCAAAATCATCCAGCTGATTTTCGGGCCTAAATGAAAAATAGAACTTGGGTCTACTCACTCCAGTCTAGCACTGTAATGAGTATACCACATAGCCTTTTGTACATATACATATGTGAAATCATGATGGTGCCCACCAATAGAAAATGGTGCTGAGCGCTAATATATCGGTATAACCACTCTGTAGAGAATAAGCAAGACTGAAACCACAATTAGGGTGATCCTGATTCCAGTCAAAAATCCATTTTTACCAGTCTCTTGTTACCATAAAGACTGGCAATAATAAGAGCTTTTATTCCAGTTTGAAACAGCATCCTATGACAAACTGTGTTTCTAGTGGGAGGTGAGAAATGAGTTTCATTAAGATTGTGGCAGGAAGAACTAAATCCCCCATTTGACTTATGTTTCTCCAGATCTCCACGTAATATTTCAGGTGTGTTTATGATATGTCATTTCATAGTCTAGAACAGGTTGGAAGCCATAATCTGAAATAGCTTTGTGCTGAAGTATAAGCACAAATCCCTCACCACTGACTGTATTTTCAAGAGTTACTAACCAATCTCCAAGATTTGCTAACCAATTTCATAGCTTCGGTCTAGAAAAGATAGGCAAAAAATAGCTGTTTCAAAATAATATTGTGTTAAGATATACACTCTGAAGTTCAAAATAAAAAAAAACCTTCCTCAAATCTTCTGATTATGTAGATGTATTGGAGTTTCCGGTTTGTCGGCTTCGCGAGCGGTAGGGATTCGCGAAGCTGCGCGATCCCTGCCGCGCTGGCCGTTTTGGGGCTCCGACCCGGACGGGTGCGGAGCAAGGCTGCCCTGCAGGGGTAGCTGAAGGTAAGGGGGATCCGGAGGAAGGGTCTGGGGGTGTTGCAGACCCCCTCCCTGGCCGGCAGAACCCTCTTTTACCAGGACGGTGCAGCGGCGGTCCGTAATGGCCGCCACAAAGAAGTTGGCAGCCGGGCAAGTATGCGCAGGAGGAAGAAGAGAAAGTTATTGAAAGTGAAAGTTCTTCTTGGTCGACCCAGGGCTTTGAGATTTATCTAATTTAATTCCTGGAAAAGATGGTTTTTTGATGATTTTTTCCACAAGAGAAAAAAAGCGGCTATTTTGAGGTGCTGAAAGGAAAGTTTACTCTCCCTCCCGACGGAATTAAGCCGGAAGGGAGAGGATAAAGAAAATATATAAATTTGGATCTTGTTGGAGGAGATGCCTTTAAGATTTGAGGACAGAAATATAATTTTAATAAGGCTTTAAAATATAGATTTGGACTCTTTTTGTATTTGTTTGATACCACCCCTGGAAGAGGAAGGGGGAATTTTGGCTTGCTTGGATTTATTGAGGATTGTGGATTTTGGGATTGTTTTACCTTTCTCTCGGAATATTTGGTTGGTGTAAGAAGAAAGAGGAATAAAGAAAAGAAAAGATTTATTTATAATGGCTTTCCCTTTTGAAGACCTGAGGGATGAATATGAGCAAACAAAAGCAGCCTGCAAAGATGGTATGGAAAAAGCTTTTCTATTTCTAGAAATGGCGCTGGTCAATTACCAACAGACAATGGAACAGATGGAAACAGAAGTTGTTCCAGAAGAACAACAACAAGGAAAAGACGAAGACGCCATCTTTATTGAATCCCAAAACTTATCTAAGGAAGAAGGAAGGAAGAGAGCAAGGAAAATGAAGGACTTAAGATCTAAAAAAACATTTGAGAAAGAGAAAAATATGATGCAAAGTAAATATAATGATAGCAAACAAGAGAAAAAGGGAACACAACAGAGAAGGGATCCCAGCAAGGCAGAGGTTAGAAGAAGAAGGGGGGGTAGGAAGATTTGGTGGGGGAAGAAAGAAAGGGGAAAGGCGGAGAAAAGCCTCAAAGTTTTAAAATTGGATGGGAGAAGAGGAATTTTTTTTAGGGACAAAGGATGAAATATAAACTTCTGTAAGAAAGATTCTGCTAGGTACAGAAGATGGTATTGTAACATTTATATTTGAAATAGTAAATTAGAATGGTTTAAGATTTAATAAGAAATTAAAATGTTGAAGTTTTTAATAATGATTGATTTTTAAAATGTAATAAAATATTGAAGGAAAGGAGGATACAATGTATTTAAACATTTTTGGTGGATAGAATGTACCAAGCAGAACCGAATTGGGTATTTGTTATGTTGAATGTTAATTTTACTAACTTAGGGGGAGGATAGAAAGGCATCATACTCTGATTAGTGATTTCAGGAGAAATTCTTTTTATTATAAGAAGAGATAGAGGGATAATGAATGGGCAAAAGATATAAATTTAATGATTTAATTAAGATGGATTAAATAAGATAAAATTGTGAAGAGTGATATGCGCTGCCCATGCAAAGAGAGGTAACTGGGGCCAAGGTACTTTACTAAAAGATTTTTTTATGTTTGTTTGTGTTTGTTTGTGTTTTATGAGAATATTGGGGAAAATTTTGTAGAAAGACAGGAAAAGATTTAAATATGTAATGATTTGTTTGTTGTTGAAATTTTTAATAAAACTTGTTTTTAAAAAAAGAGATAGTTTAATTGAAAGCAATATAGAAATGGTTTGCCATTCCCTTCTTTCAGGGTTATTATTAAAAAAAAATAGTATTACAATCTATATCCCTTAAATTTGCTCATAATCTTCTATCCAGATAGATATTGCCATGATTTATGATTCTCTTGGGTACAAGATTAAAAACAAAAAATACTTATATATATTTTAAATTGCAGGATAATAGTCTGTTTTTGGATATCTCAGTAGCTGTTACTGATTATAATGTTTATATTTATAAATGTAACTATCATATCAGCTCTTACTTAACTTAAAGTGATCTTAACTTAAAGATACTTAACTTAAAGATACTTAATTTTTTTCTCTTTTTAATACAGGAAGTCAGCCTTATCCTTGTGGCTATATTGGTATTCTTATTGGCATGTTATGCTTTCTTTTATCTTAACCTTTCTGAAGAAGATGACCTAGGTCTGGAAAAGGATGGAAATTAGCCAAATTGTTTTTGAAGATTTCTTCTAGAAAAGCATTACTCTTGTCGACTTCAGCCATGAACAGCTGCTCGTCATCAAAGTGGACAAAATGGGAATCAGTTCCTGCAACTCTGAAATTAATAATACACTTGAGACTATCTCAGCTAGTCTTATGGATATTAATGAGGTTCTTCTCCTTTTCAAACTGTAGTTTATTGGCTAAAGTTGACCTTTTTCTTCATTTCGTTTTTCAACTGGAAATATTTCATTCCAGAAAACAATTTTCTATATTCATTAGTGTTATTGTGTGGATGAAAAGAATTTGATTTCCTTAGAACTTGGCAAACAAATACGAATTACAGATATGACTCAAACACAAACCAATATGAACTGTGATATCTGTACACATATTTCTATTACTTCCAGATTCTACTAATTGTTGTGTGAGTGATTCGGCCCATTTTTAATTCTTATCTCCAAAACAAAAATAATTTATATGTGCTGAATGTATGTGAGTCATGCATGATAGTTTTTGGATTAAAAACTGTATACAGCTAGTCCTTGACTTATGATTGTAATTGAGCACAGAATTAGAGTCGTAAGTCATGCCACTTGTAAAGTGGGTCACCATGTGACTGCACCCGATTTTATGACTTTTTTTGCAGGTGCCATTAAGTGAATGCTATTGTTGTTACGAAAACCCATTGTACTCAATGGACATTTTTTGCTAGAAACCTGTTCCTAGCAAAATGCCAGTTTAAATGCCAGTTTCAAGCAAAAAACATAAATCACCATGTGACTGGTGATGTGAATATGGGATGCTGCAAATGCAGGCCAATTGCCAAGCACCAAAATGTGATCATGTGACCATGGGGGGGCGGCTATTGGAACTGCAAAACTGGGTCATTAGAAATACTGGGGAGGTCCATCATAGCAATAGCAATAGCACATAAGACTTATAGACTGCTCCATAGTGCTTTACAGTCCCCTCTAAGCAGTTTACAGAGTCGGCATATTGCCCCTAACAATTTAAGTCCTCATTTTACTGACCTTGGAAGGATGGAAGGCTGAGTCAGTCTTGAGGTGGTTAGGATTGAACCTCTGGTAGTCAGCAGAATTAGCCTGCAATATTGCAGTCTAACTAATGAGCCATCACAGTTGATCATCATAACTTCTAAGGGTCATTTAATGACCAATCGTAAGTTGAGGACTACCTGTAGCATACTTTACTTTATAAGTTAAACTGATTTGCTGGGAAGTGAGTGTTTTATGCACAGTTCTGTCATTATAATATTATAAGGGCTTCCTCTTTGTACCATAGGACCAATGTATCAAAACCGCATTTCATATACTTTTGGTTTTAATAAGACAGAAAATCACATGTTTACATTCTACTTCATTAGTAATCCTTCAAAAGTTTCTTTTTTTGTAGAACACAATAATTGATGTTAATATTATGTGAAAAACATGCATTTTAGCCCTGTAGCAAAGCCCTAGAAATCAAAATGTTTCATAGTATGTCTATTAGGAATAGAACACAGAGCACAGCCTAATTCAAATACAAGGCCTTTGACTTAAGTGGAAACCATTCTGAAATACACGTGTTCAAAAATTCTACCAAGCTGGTTGCATCCCTGCAAATGCAGATATCAACAAATTTATGTATTTTTTAAAAACCAATTTGCAATGGCTACCTTGATTTCAAAGTTTCTTTTAGGAAAAAAGAAACCCTGGAAATTCTATTAGAATAATAGTTACAGTAAACCAAGACCAAGAAGATATCAGAGATATGAGATATATTTGAATGTATTTCTTAACACCAAATTAAACACGGCTGTTTGTGAGAAAAACCAGAAACAATAACAAGGGAAATCTATTCCAAAGCCTCCAGTAAAAATGGCATGGGTATTATGCAACATGGTCTCACAGAAAGGGCAATCTCAAGCCACCATTGACTCATTTTCTACTACATCTTTTTATGGAAACTGAAAAGTTTCACCTTAATAAGAAAGAAAACCTTCGTGTTGTCAAGAGAAGTTGAAAGAAGAGATCAAATAGCCATATATTACTCATTTTTTTAATTTCAACTTATCTGTATGGTGGCTACATCAAATTTCTCTGTTCAGAAAAAAATCACTCCCATTTCATTGCCACTTTGGTGCAAATTTATTTTCAGCATTCTTCTGACTCCTCTATAGCTGGGTATCAGTAGTCATATTTTTTGTTCATTGCCAACTGTTCAGAGCACATGTGTTCTGTCAGAAATGGCACCTGGATGATAGAAACACTAGGATTCACATATGCTCTGAAGCAAAGTTCCTTCCTCTTGGGCTAACTGAAAACGTGTAAATAGAAAGTTCACTCAGTGTCGAGTTTAATTAGTACACTGCTTCATTAACATAAAGATGAAAATTATGTTTTAATTGTATCATGTAATATCAGCAAGAAATATAAAAATATATGGTAGCTTTAAAACCATTTTCATCTCTTCTCAATACTGTCTCTGAAATCTTTCTCATACAGAAAACAACATTAGAGTTTCTTTAAACTTTATTGAAAGATATAATTCTAGTTATGCTATATCACGACTGCCCTCTCTTCATAACCTTCATTCCAAAGAAATATTATTTTAAAATATAGATGATTAAAGTATTTGATTAGTGTTTTTCTGTTCAGAAATGTTGGCTACAAAGGTTATGATGAGATCCACAAACATGGATGCTTACACTAACCATTCAAATAGCATTGGGGTGGTAACATGACCCTAATTATTGGTCAGAATTAGAAAGTTTAATAAATAAGGTTTCAGTTGGACTTAGTTTATTAGCATGGAACCACAATACTTCTTAGTTCTATTTACAAGCTAATTGAGAGAATGTTGATTATTCCAAACTTAAAGCAACTACTTTAAATAGTGAAAATGTGTGGATTATATATGTAGATTTGTTCAATCATGAAAAATTGTTATGGCTAAGCAAATAATAATACAGTTCTTTGAGACAGAAAAAAATGTGATATTAGAAATGTTTCTCCAATACCTTGCTAATAGATTCTGCTGATATTATGTAGAATAAACAATTACATTCATTCCAGTAAATCAATTGACTGGCAAATGTTCCCTCTTATTGAAGGGGTCACTTTTATCAGTCTGCAATCATGTTGACCTCCACCTTGCATAATCTCTGCCTTTTGTAAGGCAATTTAGGCTACATAATTGGTCAAGGAGGGATTTCTATGGTCAAGGAGGGATATGTATTGGTATATGTATCCATTACAACTGGTCTGTGAGTTTATATGATTGGGCCCCAGTTGGATATGATCATTCTTTATGCAAATCTTATTTAATGTAATTCAGAATTCCATGTGTTGTATAGTAAATACATTTTATAGATATGTCTTTTTCTGAGAAGACGAAAACAATTTCACATGGCACATCAATATACTTCACTGAACAACAGCTTCTCCTCATGTTTACTAAAAATTCAAATTGGTGAGGAAACAGCCAAAATGTTAGGTGCTAGTATTTCTCAAACAGATGTCTCAGCATAATTTTGTCATGTGGTTGGAAGAATAAACATGCATAATTCTGAATTACTACACTGTAGATGCTATTTATTTGTTTATTTTAATAATTTCCAGTTCTGTAGATATCACTATCGGATTTTGCCAGTTTTGGGAAGCAATAGCAACCTTGACCTATAAATATTGGGAACAAACAAGTAGCTAGGGGTGAGATTCAAATTTCTTAACCGGTTCCGTGGGTGTGGCCTAATTTGTGGGTGTGGCTTGACCAAGCATGCCCAGATGGTCATGTGACCACCAAGCCACGCCCACCCAGTCATATGACCAGCTGGGTGTGCTTGGTCATGTGACTGTGTGGATGTGGCCAACTCAATGTCACTCACATGGAGGAGCACCTCGTCTGGCTTCTCAGCTGGCACTCATCCCAGCCGGCACAGCCATGGATCCCCATGGCTTCTTCGTGGCCAGGGGGAGAAGGAGAATATTCCCTTCTCTCACAGCTAGCATGGCCATGGATCCCCATGGCTTCTTCGTGGCCAGGGGAGAAGAAGAACTTTCCCTTCTCTCCCAGCCGGCACAGCCATGGATCCCTGCAGCTTCTTCGTGGCCAGGGGAGAACATTCCCAACCAGCACGGCATGGCCATGCGGTGTGGGGGGGCAGCTAGCTAGCTAGGTCGCAGTGAAGCAAGCCAGGCAAGCCCAGGGATGGGGACAGCACAGCGGCCTAGGCCGTCCCTAGAGTCGACTCGACCAGGGCTTGCTTGTAGGCTCACTCATCCAGGGAGATCAGGGCCGTGGTGGAAGGCAAGCAGCAATGGTGGGCGAAGGCAGGTTAGCAATGGCGGGCAAGATGAGGAATAACTGGGCAGAGCGAGATGAGTGGATGGGCAGGAAGGGGTGGGGCCAGCCAGTGGCACAATTTACCGGTTCTTCAAACTGTGCAGAATCATAACAACCGGTTTTACTGAACCAGTCCAAACCAATAGAATTCCACCCCTGCAAGTAGCTAGGAATTTCATAAGAATACACATAGGCTAAATGTTGGAATTACTATATAATTTTACTACATTTCCTTTGCCAATTAATTTAAAGACTATATGCCATTGTTAAAAATATGAGATTATTCTCGCTAACATATTCTGTACTTTCTACTTTAACAAAAAAGATAATCTCTGGATTCGAGTATAAAGATGAAGCCATGCATGAATATTCCAAGTCTACTACTTAGCACATGGAATGTATTAATAATATAAACCTGTTTGCTGGAGGTATTCAGCAGAGTGTGACTTTAAAGAGTTCAACAGTCAGCTTTGACTAAATCTAACACCTGACAAAAATGACGAAGACCAAGTTTCTCAATACGGCCATCAATCTTGATTCAAACCTGCTACAACTCATTTTTCAGATTTGTACTAAAAATATTAAAAAGAATTGAGCTTGACTCCTGGTGATTTTTTGGGTTATGTCAATATATTGATCTTGTCAATAATAAAAAAAAAGTGGAATGCCGATCGTTTGTGGTCTAACTTACCCTCCCAAATCTTGTAATGCTGTATTTCTCTCATCATTTGTTGGGCTGGAGATCCTGGGGGGATGAGCAAATAATGAGACTATATTCCAAGATTTTCTATCTTCATCAGGAAGACTCAACGTATGAAAGTTATTTCATGTGCCCAGATAAAATAAGCAGGCAGTAATATGCTGCTGATATATAAGAAGATGCTGATCAGTTTTGTGATGACAAAGGCACCATTTCATACTGCATGGGAGAAGGCAATAGTAAGGAATTTCTAATTTTACTAAGAAAACATGGATAGACAAGTTAAAGTGATTGATGATATAATGCTAGATGATGGGCCTCTCAAATCAGATGGTAGTAAAAATGCTATTGTGGAGCCGTTGAATATACACTGCTCAAAAAAATAAAGGGAACACAAAAATAAGACATCCTAGATCTGAATGAATGAAATATTCTTATTAAATACTTTGTTCATTACATAGTTGAATGTGCTGACAACAAAATCACACAAAAATGATCAATGGAAATCAATTTTAGCAACCCATGGAGGTCTGGATTTGGAGTTACACTCAAAATTAAAGGGGAAATACAGGCTGATCCAACTTTGATGTAATGTCCTTAAAACAAGTCAAAATGAGGCTCAGTAGTGTGTGTGGCCTCCACGTGCCTGTATGACCTCCCTACAATGCCTGGGCATGCTCCTGATGAGATGGCGGATGGTCTCCTGAGGGATCTCCTCCTACACCTGGACTAAAGCATCCCCCAACTCCTGGACAGTCTGTGGTGCAATGTGGCGTTGGTGGATGGAGCGAGACATGATGTTCCAGATGTGCTCAATTGGATTCAGGTCTGGGGAATGGGCGGGCCAATCCATAGCATCAATGCCTTTATCTTGCAGGAACTGCTGACACACTCCAGCCACATGAGGTCTAGCATTGTCTTGCATTAGGAGAAACCCAGGGCCAACCGCACCAGCATATGGTCTCACAAGGGGTCTGAGGATCTCATCTCAGTACCTAATGGCAGTCAGGCTACCTCTGGCGAGCACATGGAGGGCTGTGCGGCCCCTAAAGAAATGCCACCCCACACCATTACTGACCCACTGCCGAACCGGTCATTCTGGAAGATGTTGCAGGCAGCAGAACATTCTCCACGGCATCTCCAGACCCTGTCACATCTGTCATGTGCTCAATGTGAACCTACTTTCATCTGTGAAGAGCACAGGGCGCCAGTGGCAAATTTGCCAATCTTACTGTTCTCTGGCAAATGCCAAACATCCTGCACAGTGTTGGGCTGTAAGCACAACCCCCACCTGTGGATGTCGGGCCCTCATACCACCCTCATAGATTCTGTTTCTGACTGTTTGAGCAGCCACATGCACATTTGTGGCCTGCTGGAGGTCATTTTTCAGGGCTCTGGCAGTGCTCCTCCTGTCCCTCCTTGCACAAAGGCGGAGGTAGCTGTCCTGATGCTGGGTTGTTGCCCTCCTATGGCCTCCTCCACGTCTCCTGATGTACTGGCCTGTCTCCTGGTAGCGCCTCCATGCTCTGGACACTACGCTGACAGACACAGCAAACCTTGCCACAGCTCGCATTGATGTGACATCCTGGATGAGCTGCACTACCTGAGCCACTTGTGTGGGTTGTAGACTCTGTCTCATGCTATCACTAGAGTGAAAGCACCACCAGCATTCAAAAGTGACCAAACCATCAGCCAGAAAGCATAGGAACTGAGAAGTGGTCTGTGGTCACCACCTGCAGAACCACTCCTGTATTGGGGGTGTCTTGCTAACTGCCTCTGCTTTCCACCTCTTGTCTATTCCATTTGCACAACAGCATGTGAAATTGATTGTCAATCAGTGTTGCTACCTAAGTGGACAGTTTGATTTCACAGAAGTGTGATTGACTTGGAGTTACATTGTGTTGTTTAACTGTTCCCTTTATTTTTCTGAGCAGTATATTTGGGAGTACTGATGGTGCTTATGATGTGGCTAAATTAAAATCTTTGGAAGGTCTTGTGGTTTATTCCTTTCTATGTACGAAAAGAAAATCTAAAGCTGCAAAATAGGATTATAGTGAAAACATGGAAAGTAAGGAACATGAATATGGGAGAGTAACACTGAAATGAAGCAACTGTACATTGACATCTTAGTCATTAGTATATTGAAACAGACTAGAGATGGAGACTTTCAGAAGATTGCACTGTTTATCATTCAAGACATGTAAAAAATGGAATAGCATTGCTTTTATGGGAAGGATGTAGAAAGGACAATGCTTTTATACAATCAATGACTGAGTAAGGTCAATTAGAGTTTGTTGAAAATTCCAACTTAATGATTATCCAAGTTGATGCTCTAACCACTGAGGCAGAAGAGGTTGACAACATGATGTGTATGAAGACTGGAATTCAAAGTTTGAAAGGAGGAGGAAAAACTAGTTCAACTTTAAACTGGCGTAGGAAATTGAAATTAAGCAGGAGAATGACTTCCCAGTTTCTATCAATCTAATTATTATTTCATATTTAATACAGCCTTCAAACACCAAAATGAAATATCCATGCATGTGAACATCACCCTATAGAGTACACCAAAAATTAGAACAACTTAAAAGGTCTGATTTGGATAAATCATTTACATCTACAGCGTGATATTTCCTGATCATCTCCAATCCAAATAGTAATCAGGTATGACTCTGCTTAGTGTACCCAGCCAAGTGTAATTTTCTTCAACCAGGTGCCCTCCAGATGCAATGGACTGCATTATTCTCCACCATCTATGCTCATAGATGTTAGACATTACAGCTCAATGTATTTGGGCACCAGATTGGGAAATGCAATAAACTCTAGTCTTGGACCACCATGGAATATCAAACAATGTTTTCATGATGATATGAAGTGCATAACCAATATTATACACTCAGGTAAGGAAATTGTGGTCAGTGAAAGTAATCAAAGCTCCATTTGAGCTTTATATCATATATATGCATTAAATTTTGCCAAGGAAATTCAAAATGGAATTCTACATAGGCTCTGGGGCAAATGTGTAGTTTAACCATGATTTTTATCGTAACTCATAAAAAGGCCAAATAGAAGCTGTGCCTAAATGAACGTGCCATTTTGTTAATGCAAGCTCTCTGTGACAAATACATTGTCAAAGT